TGTCCAAAGAAGCCACGTTATGTTGGGAGGGTACAGGAAGGGGCTTGGCAAAGCTTGAGAGTGGTATAATGAGGGACCCACTAGCTCAGTAAGTCCCAAAGGGTAGGCAGGCCGAATACTTTAGAGGAATGCCATAGGCACTAGAGGGGATTTTACCCAGAAGCAAATACAATTTGTGCATCAGAGTCCCTTTCTTGCACAGGCTCCTGAGAGTGCAAGGAATTCACATGTTCTAGGAGGGGAGGGGTAGTCAGGTTACAACCAGGAGGCATGTCTGTGTATTTATTTCTGATCAGTTGCTTGAAAGAGATCTCGGAAGAAACTTTCCTGAATCACCGGAGTTCCAGGCATTTATTGTGATTTATTTTCTCCTGCAAAATAAAAATTAAACATTGTACTAATTTTGTGCTCCTGATTTTGGGCCCATAGCTGTATAGGCATTAATGTTCATAAAACATTATGAACATTAATGAATGTCCAGAGGCCTACCCCTCTGGGAGAAGGCATGGGGAACCCTTTGGGGTTACAGAACTCTCTGCTCTGCCCGTCTAAACAGAGAGGTCAGCCTGAGGTCTGCTACTGGGAGAAGGTCCAGACGGAGAACCTCTGAATTGCTAGAACCTCTGAATTGCTGGGGGGAAGGGCTTTCAGGAAAAGCCCATTGCAGCTCTGGCCTTGCTGCTGGCTCATTGTGTGACCTTTGGAAGATCATCTCGTGTCTCTGAGCCTCAGTTTCCCCATTTGTGGTTGAGACTTCTAGTGTGGGCTCAGCAGTAGGCCCTGTGGAGTGTAAAGCTCTGTGCATATTGGAGGGACATATGATTATAAGCTGTGTTGCAATTATTAGAAATATGCCCAGATCTTAAAATTTCAGTGACTGGGGACCAGCATATGGTGTAATGGCTACATTGCTGGACTCCCATGTAGTCGACTGCGGTTTGAGTCCCGGATCTGGTAGCTTAAACTGATGTTGGGTGCATGTGCATGCTTGCCCAAGATCCCGGGAGGAGAATGGAGGAGAAGGGATTGCAGTGTGGCCATCCCCACAGGGGGTGATTTCTCGCTTTCTGTCTTTCTGGCAAGTGCATGCACCCTATAGCAAAAACCTCTCCAAAAAAAAAAAAAAAGTTTCAATGACTGAAGAGCAAAGACAATGTCCATTCTTTTTTTTAAAAAATTTTGAGATATATATATATATTTTGCTATAGGATGCATGCACTTGCTGGAGAGACAGAAAGAGACAGAAAGCAAGAATCACCACGTAGGGGGGATGGCACACCGCAATCCTTTCTCTTCCATTGTCTTCTCAGGATCTTCGCACGTGCCTGGTGTGAGGTTTAAGATGCCAGGTCCAGGACTAGAACCATGGTCAACTACATGAGAGTCCAGTGACATAACCACTATGCCATCTGCTGGTGCTGCCAATGTTCATTCTGATAGTGTTTCGATTTTTTCTTATCTTAAAAAAATATTTATTTCATGAGGGAATGCAAGAGAGAGAGAGAGAGAGAGAGAGAGAGAGACCCTCAGCAGGGTCTCATGACATGATCCTTCCCCTAGCCTTCCCAGCCAGCCAGGATCATGGGCACGAGCATGGACCTGATGTGTCCAGGCTGACCTAGGACTGATCATCCACATGGCTCCCAGTGCCATGGAATGGCAGCTACCTCTGTGCTACCACAGCGAGGCCTGTTATTTTGCTTTTTCATCCATTCACTCATTTTAACTTTTTGTTGTATGATTTTTTTTTTTTAGCGTATACATGATTTAAATTATATATCTTTAAAAGCTTTTTTTAAATTTACATTTAATCATTGTACATTTTTGTAGCATAAAAAATGAATTTTCCCAGCATGAATACACTGCACATCAGTCCAGTCAAAGATATTACTATACACGTCATCATTGACATACAGTCTTCCGGTCTGTTAAATGTTTTGATTTTCTTTTTTTCCTTCCTGGATTCCCTCCCTTCCATCTCCCACTGCCTTCCTTCCTCCCACACCGTTGGTCTCTACACCTTTATACCTTCCAATCTTTCAGTTTCTGCCATAAACTTTCAAACATATACAAAAACAGATTACCCAAGGGACTCCTGTACACATCTCTTGGTGTTTGCAGGATTTTGGCCCCAGGATCCCCTGTGGATTCCAAACTCCATAGATGCCGAAATTCCTTTTATAAAATGGCAGAATAGTTCTATGTAACCCGTGCACGTTTTCTTGTGTACTTTAAATCATTTGTGGATTACTTATTATGCCTGATACAAAGGAAATAATACAGGAATAGTTATTATACTATGTGTTTTATTTTATTTTTAGAATTCATGACAGTGCGCACACGAGAGAGGGGGTAAGAGAAAGTACCCTCAGTGGGTCCTGGTCATGCTGTGATCCTTTTCCTTCTGACTTTCTACCCCATCAGGATCCTGAGGATGCATACATGCCCAGTGTGTTTCCTCCTAGGTTGGGGTTCGAACCCCAGTTAGCCATGTGCAGTGCTTAACCACTGCTGTGGGGCCAACTTCTAGTTGTTGTACTGTATTCTTTAGGGAATAATGACAGGAAAAAAAAATGTTGGTACATGTTCAGTAGAGATACAATCAATTTTTTTACTCTGAAATTTTTTTTATAAGTTTTTGATATAGGTTTTGCATGCTTGCTTGAGAGAGGGGGAGGGCGAGAGGGAGGGGGGAGAGAGGGAGAGGGGGAGAAAGAGAAAGAGAAAGAGAAAGAGAAAGAGAAAGAGAAAGAGAAAAGGAAAGTGAGGTGGTTGGATGCACTGCAATCACTTCTCCTCCAGTCTTCTCTCAGGATTTTGGGAACATGTATACCTTCCTGGTGTGATTTTCAAGCTACCATGTCCTAGACTCGAACCACACAGTTAGCCATATGGGATCTAGTGCCTTAATCTCCACACCACTTGTTGGCCCTTTTCTGAATGCTGTTGATCTGCAGTTGGTTGAATCCACAGAGATAGAATAAAAAATGCCAACTGTGTCTCCATCAATTGGCTTCAAATGATCAACACAGGGCCTGTCTTGTTTCATCTCCCCTCCCACCCACTTACACTTCCTGTAATATTTTCAAGCAAATTCCAATTTATTTCAACTGCAAGGCTATCAGCATATGTTCCTAAAAGATAAGCATTCTTAAAAAAAATTAAATCGGCTCTATTACTGTACCTCTCCCTCCCTGCCAAAAAGAACCTTAGATTTCCTTCTTTTTAATTTACTTAGTAAACTAGAATTTCATACCATATATCCTTCCCATCCCACTTCATGGGATTCAATCATGCTACTTTAAATTTGAATGAAAATAAAATTCAGGAAGTAGACATTTTTTATGAATTATGGAGGAGTCATAATTCGAATTAAATTTCAGCTACAAAAGTACTGAAATAACTTTAGGTAAGTTCTCTAACTCTACTCTAAGCCTCAATTTTCTCATCTGTAAAATGAGGATACTATTTACAGAGAGGAGTCTCTGAGACAGCTTAAGTATGATTAGTAAACACTCAGTAAATGATGACCATTATCATTATAGTTTCCTTCTACTTTTTAAATTAAATTTTATTTTTTTTAAAATCAAATTCCGTCTTCTGGAAATAATTTGGTTGACAGATGTAAATGATGATGGCCTTAGGGCCGATTTAAATAGGCCCTGAAAAGTTCAGGTGAGAGGAACAGGGCAGCTGGCAAGAACTGGAGGCCATTTTGTGACGCATTAAGTGATCTATTGGATTGGCTTGTGGCCTAGGGGTTCAAGGATCTGGATCTTACATGGACTGATCATGGTTCAAATCTCAATGTCGGTGATGGCTTGAAAAAGATGCCAGGTGTGTGTGCATATGTGCATGCCCAAGATCCTAATAGGATGGAGAAATAGAAAAGGAATTATGAATGACTACGCCCATTGGGGGGGTGCTCTATCTTCCTCCCTCTTCCTCTCTCTTCCTGGACAGTGGACACATCATCTGGCAAATTCAAAACAAAACAAAACAGATAAAGAAATGATCTGTTAAAGGTTGGCCCTGTGGTTATTGAAACCCAAAACAAAGCTAGCTCAGACTGGCAGAGGTTTGAGATGAAAACAATTATGAACATATAAGGAATCATATACTGTTTTCTGAAAAGCAAAAGTAACTAAAGTGTTGACTACCGGCTTTCTGGCTGGGTTGATCTTTCATTAAGAGCGCTCTGAATAATCCTTGCTCAGAGGTCAGTTCTGTTTGAACTCAGCCAGGTGTCCTAGCTGCTCACAACCCAGTGAGCGGCATGTCATGTGACTTAAGATTAGCGAGCTTTTGACACCGGCAGTTGGTGCTGTTTGTCCAGGAAGGGCCAGCTGCGGAAAGGTGTGGAGTGCCAAAGATTTGTCCAGACCAGGGCGTGGAGATAGTGGCCGGAGATGTAAGTAGCAGATGCTGGAGTGACCGACGTCTTATCTTTCAGTCTGCAGGGATTTTACTTCCTCAGTTAAGACTATAGATAGATCAAAGCATTGACTTTGACCGTTTGAAGGAGATGCTCAGTTGATTTAGGATTGAGATGTTTTTATTCCATTTAAAAGCAAAATATCATTTAATTATAAAGTATATCGAATGCGCCACTTATTAAATGAAAGTTTAGTTTGCTTTATTATTCATTTTTTAAGAGTGTGTTTCACCTTGTAATAATGGAGAGATAAAGAGAGATATTAGTAGTTAATCCTTATTTTTTTAAACCAACAAGTTTAAAGATTACCTTCTGGAGAGATTAAAAAGTCGTATTAGATTTATGCTCTGTGATGGTTAGTTTTGAGTGTTATTTTGACTGGACTAAGAAATACCTGGAACTCTGATAAAGTTTTACTCAGAGTGTGTCTGTGGGGGTATTTCCAGAGATTACCATGGAGTCTGAGTAGACTATGTAAGAAAGACCCGCCCCATTGCGGGTGGGCACCATTCTCAACACAGCCTGAGGCAGAATTCCGTTGTCTTGGACGTCAGAACCCAAAGCTCCGTTGCCTGTGGTCTTGGACTCTCACTAGTACCCCTCATCCCTTCTGTGGGGTTCTCACACTTCGGCCTCAGACGGAGAGTTACATCATAGGCTTCCTTGCCTCTGAGGCCTTCAGACTGGGACTGAGCATACTGTGTCCCAGGATCTCCATTCTGCAGACAGCTTGGTGTAGGACTTCTCAGCCACTGTAATCGCGTGAGCCGATTCTCCCAACAAATCCCCTTATATATCTATACATATCCTATTGATTCTGTCTCCCTAGAGCACCCTAACTAATACATGCTTCTTAGTTATTTTGTTGACAAAGGTTTTCTATTTATTCTCTTCTGATTCCAGGGTCAAATTTGGCTCTGTCTTCCTTTTATTTTCTTTCGCTTTTCGCTTTCTGGTTAGGGGTGTGTGGCTGTTGCTTCCTTCAATTGTCTATTTTTCTAGATATAATTATAGACTTGGTTTAGGTCAATGTTGGAAATTCCTGTTGGTTCCTGAGTGATGTTTTCTATTATCATGTCTAACATCAAATGTGTGTTTATTCCCTAGTACCAACCAGTTTTCCAGTATCAACTGGGCACCCAGCAATTCAGTTTGATTCGAATTATAAATAACTTCTGAAGTTAGTAAAGACTCCATGAATTAAAGACTCAGTCCCACAAGACTGTCGCTACTTAAGATGCCGGGCACAGATGAGGCCTAGAGACAACCCACATTTGTGTGTGGCCTGCTACAAAATCTGGGGATTCCACCTTAAGTTTGATAATTAGCTAGAACTACTCACAGAACTTAGGAAAACACTTTACATGTTTTTTAATTTATTAATTGCCAGAGGGTGCATATGCTTGCCAGAGAGAGAGAGAGAGAGAGAAAGAGAGAGGAGAGAGAGAGAGAGAGAGAGCGAACATCTCCCAATGGGGCATAGTCATACTGCAATCTCTTCTCCATTTCCCTAGCCTGTAGGGTTTCCAGGCAGTCCCAACTGCCAGGTCTGGGACTTGTCCGTATGGTTGACCATGTGGAATCTAGTTCCCTTAACCACTAGGCCACTGGATCAGCTTAACACTTACCTATGCTTTATTTATTATAGAGGATGCAACTCAGGAATGGCCAAATGGAAGAACAATTAGGGTGAGGTATTGGGGCATGGTGCAGAGCTCCCGTATCCTCTTCCAGGCACCACTGTTCTAGTACACCAATATATTTACCAACCTGGAAACTCTTTGAATTTCTTTGTTCAAGAGTTTTTATAGATCTCAGTTCTAACCCACTAATCAGTCATGTGTTTAGTCTTCTTAGTGATCAGCCCCATCCTGAAGCTATTGAGGGGCCCTACCCTGAGTTGCCTCAATAACATAAACTCAGGAGCTCAATTATGAATACCTAAAAACACCCCTACCACTCAGAAAATTTCAAGCATTTCAGGAGCTCCATGCTAGGAATCCAAAATGAAGACCCAATATATATATA